CGTGGCCAGATGCTCTCAACTCCGGCCCTCAAGACCTTCGAGGTTCCCCACCGCCTCCTGCAACATGTGCCCACGTGTAGCTCAGTAGCTTTTCCAACAAGGACCGGCACAGCAGGCTCAGTCCCTGCTCCAGGTGGGCGGGGACACAGAGAGACCCTGAGGGATGAGCACCTGCACCATGCCCCTGGGGGGAACAGAGGTCCCTGCACACCTGTACTCTCAGCACCCAGGGAGGCTGAGGCAGGAGGGTCACAAGTCTGAGCCCCACCTGGACAACTCAGCGAGATCCTGCCTCAAAATGAATAAAGGGGGCTCGGGATGCAACTCAGCGGGTAGAAAGCCCTTGGGTCTGATCTCCAGTCCCCCTCAAAAAAAAAACAGAAAAGAAAGCTCCCCAAGTAAGCAATGGCCCAGCTGCCCCAGTGATGAGGGAAAGGGCCAGAGGGGGAAGACACAGACACAGGGCCCCAAGGCCAGGGCAAGCCATGCGGGCAACAGGAAGCAGAGCCCCAACAGGCAGCACAGGGAGGTGCAGGCCATGAGTGTGGGCCCTGCTGGACAGACAGAGCCTGGTCCTGCCTCGGCTTCTGGCTTCACTTCTGCTTCCAGCCACAGCACACAAGAGGATACCAAGACCTGATACCAAGACCACCACCTTGTGGGCTGGATGTGGCAGTCCTCCCCTCTAACCCAGCACTCCAGAGGCTGAGGCAGGAGGAGCTCAAGTTCAAGGCTAGGCTGAGTTTCATACTGGAACCCTGACTCAGAAAACCAGTAAAGGAAGGAAAGCCCCCAACCCACATGGCAGGCACCGCCTGGCAGAAATCTGAGGCAGCTCAATGTGGGATCTGCAGCCTTCCTGCACTGAGTCCCATGGAGCCCCTTGAGCCTCCACCAATAACCCCACCTGGGCTTTCTGTAGCCTAACCCCTGCCGCTGGCCCTGGGGCAAGCAGGCACCCAGCGGTCTCTGGTTCTCCTCTGGCTGGGGTCATCTGTGGCCCAGACACACTCACCTGTGTCCTATTTACCCACACACCTTCCTTCTCTGTCTGCAGTCCCCACCCTGGCCCCAGCTTGCTCAGCCCCTGGAGGAGACTGCAGCCTCCGGTCCGCCCAGGGGGGCGCGGCTTTCACATGCCATGCCCCTCCCTTCCCCTCCCCAGGTCCCCAGGTCCCTCTTCCAGGAAGCTGCAGTCAAAGCCCAACAGGAGGGCCAGGGATGTAGCTCAGCAGTGCCTTGCCAGCCTCTCAAGTGCAAGGTCGGTGCCTTGCCAGCCTCTCAAGTGCAAGGTCGTGAGTTTGATCCCCAGTACCCAAAAAAAACCAAACAAACCCCAAAAACCAAAGAAACAAACAAATCCACCCTGGGCAACTTAGCCAGAGCCTGTCTGAAGGTAAAACAGAGCTCGGGATGTAGCTCAGTGTGAAAGCTCTCAGTAGAATCCCTGGTACAGGGAGAAAAAAAAGTGGACCCCCAACTCTCCTGTACCGCCTGACCTGAAGGCAGCCAGTGCCCCTGGAGCAGCTGGGCATGGGAAGCCCCTGCAAGCTCTGAGCAGGGCGAGACACCCGTTCCTGCTTGGCTGACCACTCGTTCAGTCGGCAACACCCAGGCTGACATGGGCCAGCCCGAGAAGCCTGGGATTGCTGCTGCCAACAGCAGCAGGGCCAGACTTCAATCCAAGGCTTCCCCCGTCCTGGGCTGCCATTAGTATTTGAGTAGGAAGGACACACAATTATTTCAGAGGAAGAGAAAAAGAAATACAAGGCACAGGAAGCCAAGCCAGGGGCACCGTCCCCAGCACCATTCCAGACACCCTGGCTGGGCTACTCTGGGTGCAGTGCCCAGCGGGCCATCTGCAAAGCCAGGAGAGGAGGAGAAATGGGCAGATGTGGATCCAAGCTCAGAGCTGCACCCTCCAAGTTACTTTCTCCTGGTGAGTATCAGTTTCTTCACCTACAAAATGGGAATGAGCCTGTCGTGGTGGTGCACACCTGTGATCTCAGCACTCAGGAGGCTGAGGCAGGAAGATCCTGAGTTCCAGGCCAGTCTGGGCTGCTCTACACAAAGGGAAAGGGGTGCAGGTATGCTTCTGCTTCAGACTAGTCAAGGAGGTATTCCTGGGGAAAGACAGAGATCCACAGGTACTGAAGAAACGGCTCCTGGAGAGGATGCTTACATTCAGGGTCAGGAGAGACCATAAGAAAGGAGCAGACCTGGGTAATTGGGAGCACGGGGCCGGGGGAGGGGGGTGCTCAGGCCCACCCCATTGACTGCCCAACAGCCAGGGTGGCTGCCAGCCGCCATTGCGCTCCAAGTGTCCCCTGCCGCCTCCATCCAGCTAGCTGCAGCCCCCTCCAGACTGTCCGCACTGCCCTGGCCAGAAAGCACCCGACTGCGCCAGGTGCCTCCTGGGTCATTATCTGTGCACCATGCAATGCCCTCCACCTGAGGCTGTGCCCCATGCCCGAGTGACAGGAACCTCTGGCACAGCTGCATGGGAGAAGTGAGCATAAGCAGCCAAGACACAGGAAGTGCTGGGGGGATCATCCCAAGCTAGAAATCTCAGCCAATGGGCTGGGGATTTAGTTCAGTGGTTCCGACGCCTGCCTCACAAGCTCAAGGTCCCAAGTTCGATCCCTGGTACCAAAAAAAAAAAAAAAAAAA